GGGGATGTTATCCTCAGTGATCTAAGTCAGACAGAGAAAGACAAATGCTGTATGATCTCACTTACATGTGGAATCTTAAAAAACAAAAAAAGAACACATGAGCAAACACAACAAAACCAGACTCAGAAGCAAAGACCAAAAAGATGGGGTGGGGAAAGGAGTGAAAAAGGTGAAAGGGAGTATAGTCGAGAATATTGTGATAAATGTACATGGTGACAGGTGATTACTAGAACGAGGGGGTGATCACACTCTAAGGTATACAAATGTCAAATCACTATTGTACACATGAACCTAATGTAATTAGTATAATATTGTATAGCACCTATACTTATTTTAAGAAAAGAGTTGATGATCTTAGTTATAGTTTTAGTCACCATAGATGTTTCTGAGATCCTATGAGCACATGCCAGGCAAGTGAGAGGTTAAGGAACAACGAAGACTGAGGTGTTGTACCACACAGAGCTGGTGGTCATGGTGTTCACCCTCTGACTTCACTTGCTACCTCTTGGGAGCCAGATGAAGTTCAGAATACTCAGTGATGTCTCTTCTTCTTTGAGGAGACCCAAGCAACCTAAAAGTTGAAGCCACTGTGCTTTCATGGGAGGCTCAGCTGTTGGTCTCTCCTGAAAACCCTCTGTACCCAGGGCAACGTCTGCTGCCTTCAAAGCCAAGTAGCTCCCAGCCGAGTTCCTTAGAGTGGCATTGGGCATAGTTTTGAGCAGTTTACCACCTGGTATACACACATGCACGAATTCACATATTTAATTCACCGACCTATAGCTTTACTCTCTAATTTTGTTGTTGATTGGATATAATACATCCCTCTTCACTTAGACTTCTTGAACGAGCTAGGCAAGAAATGTAGCAGGCTTTCTGGGTCATTTTTTAGTAATGTATAACTGCAATTAAAGATGATGCATACTTGTTGAAGGATTTTTAGCCAGTGAATATTTCCCGTGGATTTTAACCCCTGCCCCTTCTCTTGGCATCTGTTCTAGTCAGGTTGGGCAGGAGGTAGTCAGACCTGGGAGACACACAAGGTTGAGCTGACAGGTGAACAGAACAGGTGGGTAGCATATTTCAAATCAAAGAATTCATGAGAACTCAATTGAGTTTGTTCACGTGGCATGTAATCATTCAATATTTGTTCAGTATTAATTGAATGCCTTCTGTGTTATCAGCCTGAGTAGTGCTGGAGACACAGTACTGGGTAAGGTTTCTACCCTTCCAAAGTCTATATTTACTGCTCACAGAAGGATTGCAGAGCAAGAAGATGCCTTGCACACAACCACTTAGCATCAGAGCAGTGTATTTTTGTAAAGATCCCCAAATCTTTAAAAAAAAAACATTTAGAAATTTAATTCTGGGATTTGGGCCTCAGCAATAGGGAAAATGGTGGTGCCATTTACTAAGATATTAATTAGGGAAACATTAGGGAATTTGTATCTGCTAATGAGATTCACAGACGTGGATGAAAGCCTCATCTAGCAAGACAGTACCATGAGAGGACTTCCAGGACCACTGGCAAACTTAGCTTTTAAAGGTCAGAAAGAGCCAGTGACAGAAATGGATTAAGTAGCGGTGGGGATGCAAAGTGGGTCAGCACTCAGAAGTCTGCAAGTTCAACTTACAATGTGAAAAAGAAAAAAGATCAAATTATAGTTGATTAAAACGTGTGATAAAGTTCAACATTCCTTATAATGAAGAAACAACAAAAGTTTTAACAATGTTAAAACTTTTATTGGGAACAAATGTCTAATGTCATGCTTAATTAGTGAAACATTGAAAGCCTTGCCACAGAAGTTAGGAATTAGAGTACAATTTTGAAAAATAGGGATAATGAGGAGGGATTTGCTTTCCTAAATATAAAAACATATTCAGCTGTAGAAATTTTAAGTGATGCATTAATTGTAAGATAGGTAAATAGATCAAGGATTCAGAATGTGTTTTTACAAAGGGACCATACATAATATTCAACGAAAACCATATCAGTTTTTTAATTCCTTTGCCTTTTTCAGGAAAATGGTTTCTTTCCTTCTGTGATATTTTCTAAAATGAATGCTGTGACCCTGAGTTGGAGGGCTTAGTTCTGTTACCAGTGTCCCTTTTATTTCTAAAGTATTTCACTTCATGAACAAAACTAGGTTACATTCCCAGCACCTGTCACAGACTCATCACCGCATCTGGAGCACTGGTACCACTTTCATTACTCACCACCCTCGTTCAGAATGGAGGGGCTATTGATATGATCTATACAATAGTTTCAGAATCTTACTCCCACAAGCAAATACTTCACAATGATAAGAAACACCCGTCTTCCTTTCCTGAGAACTAGTAAAGATGTAAGATTTAAATTGCATATTATGTAACTGTATCCATATATGTTATATAATTGTATCCATACTTATTACCATATTTAAAATGATAACGAGTAAAGAAAATACAACTCTGTCTGAACGTTTCATCTTTTTTCTACAAGCTTTAGAAGTGTAGCAGTAATCAGAATCTTTGTGAAACCTAATCATTTGTGGAAACTGGAGGCCAGAGATGAGTTCTTGGAATTGAACCAGCCCTGCACATTCCTGTGTGTAGAAATGTGGAGGGCATATTGGAGTCAAAGGTGACTCGCAGGTTTGGATTTCAGCAGCTGAGGAGATGGTAATGCATTTATTGAAATATTAATTTGGATCCTAATTGTCAGGGTATATCCCCGATAACCAGATCCACAGGGGTGGTTGAGGGACAGCAATCTAGTGAGACAGAACATGAGCAGAGTGCCAGACCACTGACAAAATTCTGCTTTAAAGGTCAAAAAGAGGGTGATGAGCCCCAGCCAGGAAAACTGGGAAAAAGCAGAGCAGGGAGGGTGGTATGGTGGAAGCTAAGGAAAGAGAGGCTTTCGTGTGAGGCAGAAAGCTCTTTTAGCCGCTGGGAAGCCGAAGGAAGGGAACCAAGGAATGTCCATTGAGGTTCCTGACGTGGAGGCTGTTAGTGACCTTGGCCAGAGCAGTTCCAGTGGAGAGTAGAGTGGCAAGCGTGTTTCCACACGGTTCTCTGCGGTTGGGAACTGCAGCCTGCCTTTAGTTCACTTACCGACGTGGGACTGTATTTTCAGCATCTAGGGCAGGTTCTGCATTATCAGACTCTGCTACTCTCTTCAGTCTTAGAAAATTCCATCAGGAGAATGAGGCTATGTAAATTTAAAGGCAGGCAAAAATGTTAACACCACTTACTTTGAGATAGGATTTTCTGTTTTTCTGTTTACTGCCCTTCTTTGAGTGGGCTGCAAGGCACAAATCATCATGTGAAATCATGCTCATTGGTGGGGAAACCGCTTTAAAATGTGATCAAATAATTCTGCTAGTAAACACCCACAGAACAATTTGAATGAATGGAATGCCACCACCAAAGAGATGGTGAGCTGCATTTTTTTAGGAAAGGGCAGGTGAACTATGGTAGGGTGGTCAGGGCGAGAAGTACTTCAGATCCTTGCATCTGTTATCCCGACCCACTGAGCGGGTGCTGGGATACTGCAGAATATGGCTGAGGGTAGGTGTATAATGGGGGGAATTCCAGAACCTTTCTTAGATTCTTTGCTCGTGCTTATCCTTATGCCCAGAAGTCTCTTCTCCCCTTTGGCCCCATCCCTTTTCCTTTTCATCTAACCAACCCTTTCTACTAACCCTTCAGCTCCTATCTTAGATATAACTTTCTCAGAGAAGATTTCTCGGATCCCCCAGAAGAGAACAGTTCTCCCTGGTTTTATGCTCTCTTAGCACTCAGTACATTGCTTTTGCAAAATTTCTATCAGAATTGCAACAGAATTATGTCGTATATAATTATCGTTTGCCCCTGTCATCCTGCCATGGTGAATTCCACGTAGGCGCAGACATGACTGTCTCGTTCACGGCAGTTTTCCTAGTGCCTAGCAACTCGGTGTCATTCTGTATTTGAATGAAGCGATGCCACTGAAAAGCATGGCCATAGGATGGATTTCTGTTAAAAGAAACTCTGGGACTGAAGTTTTAAGGTGACTGCAGGATAGATTGTATAGCTGGTATAAGGGCCTGTTTGCATGACTCCCAGGGGTGTCTGGGTAATTGGCTACAGCATGAACAAGTTTCCCAACAAATTGGAGGTAGAGTGATGGCACTTTAGGTGACTGTGGACACGGATGTGAGCAGAGATACAAAGGCAGCGGGGTGCTGAAGTTATGCCACAATGTTAGGGTATAAGGAGATTATTTAGATGATTCCTAATATGTTTATATTAATTACATTTTTTTCATTATCAAATAAGGACAAATATTTTGACACAGAATTTCAGACCTTTGGTCTACAGCCAGCCTGTGCCCCCACCCCAGCAGGATCCTGCCCACTAGTGGCTCTCCCAATCCGCTCTTCCTTCTCTGCTGAAAACTTCTTCCCTACTTCCCAAATTTAGCCCCCATCCCCATTCTTGGACTCCTGGTTGTGTTGTTTGCTTTCTGGTGCCCAGGAGAGGACTGACGGATTGACTTCCCTTCTTGCACCTCCGTCCTAGAATGGATCTGAGCCTTGGTTGACTCTGCCTGCCTCTAGCAAGGAAATTGTTGATGGCAGAGGGGGAAGTTCTTAGTGTGTCACCTTGGTTAATAAAAAATGTACGTATTTTATTATTAAGGGGTTGACTGAACAACTCTCTTTGTGACTTTGAAACTATAATGTACCATGAAAAGTCTCACTTTTTACCGGTTAACTGACTTATTCTCGCTCTCTCTCTCTCTCGTCATGCAGGCACTAATAAAGGAAAGTAATAAGAATTTTCTCAGCTCTCACAACCATACTTTTTGCTGTATTTTCCAGTGCCTGTCCATATGCAGTGATACTGGCTGGATTCAGTTTTGAAATGCATTTCTTTTTTATGCTACGCGATGATCATAGTTCAAGGAAATGGAAGTAATTGAGATACGGGAATATCTCGGGTAATAACGGCTTTTTATTTGGATTGTTTCCCTTTAGGAAAGACACTGCTGATCCTGTAACATGGAGGACTGCCTTCATACCTCATCTGAGAATCTGTCCAAATTGGTCAGCTGGGCCCACAGCCATGGGACTATTTGCAGCCTCATCCCTAACCTGAAACACTTGCTTTCGGAAGGTTCCCATGGGAACCTGACTGCAATGTGGGGCTGTAGTGCCGGGCATGCTTATCACTGGCCACTGACAGCTACTTGCAGAGCTGGGTCCCAGGAAAGGGTCTGTTTCCAGGATAACAGAAGTTTTAACTCCGATAGTCCCAGTATAATCGGAGTGCCCTCTGAGACACAGACTAGCCCAGTTGAAAGGTACCCTGGGAGACCAGTGAAAGCGAAGCTAGACTGTAATCGGACCAGAGACTCTTGTGACTTCTCTTATTGCAGTGAGCCCTCTGAACTGGACGAAGCTGTTGAAGAGTATGAAGATGAAAACACCCTGTTTGACATGGTTTGTGAGTCTTCTGTTACAGATGAGGATAGTGACTTTGAACCCCCAACCCAAAGGCCTCAAAGCATTGCTCGAAAAAGGCCTGGAATAGTCCCGTCTTCTCTCCATTCAAGCTCCCAGGCTCAGATGGTTGATGAATGCAGCAGTGATGTTATCATCAAGAAAATCAAACAAGAGATTCCTGAAGATTATTACATTGTGGCAAATGCAGAGTTGACTGGAGGAGTAGATGGACCGGCCTTGTCATTGACGCAGATGGCCAAACCCAAGCCTCAGACTCATGCTGGTCCCTCCTGTGTCGGCTCTGCTAAGCTAATTCCCCATGTAACATCTGCCCTCAGCACAGAGCTAGACCCACATGGTGTTTCTGCGTCTCCCTCTGTGATGTCCAGGCCAGTGGTCCAGAAGACCGCCAGGGCACCTCTGGCTTCACCAAACAGAGGGCCCTCCGGTGCGCATGGCACCAACCAGCAGGTGGCCATGCAGATGCCTGTGAGCACGTCCCATCCTAACAAACAGATCAGCATCCCCTTGTCTGCCCTGCAGCTGCCTGGACAGGATGAGCAAGTTGCTTCGGAAGAGTTCCTGCCCCACCTGCCCAGCCAGGTCTCCTCCTGTGAGGTGGCCCTTTCTCCCTCAGTTAACACAGAGCCAGAAGTGAGCTCCAGTCAGCAGCAGCCCCAGGTGGCCCCAACCATAACCACCGAGGCCATGGCACAGTGCATACCAGGTATGGCACGGGAGGTGACAGTGAGTCCCTCATCCTCGTACACCAGAGAATTCTGCGCCACCCGCACTTCTAAAATCATAGGCTGAGTTTGCTAGACATCAGGCCTTTATTATTATTCTCAGAAAGATAGAAATAGTGAAATGGATTACATCCAGGTGATGCTGTAAGGGAAATCTGAATTAAGGCCATCCGTCCAGTTGATATACCTCAAGCCTGGGAGGGCAGCTGTAGGATTGTGCTGTTGATAGTGCATGGCTAGATTTAAGGTTCGTATCTGATCTTAAGCAAAATTTTTATAAGTGAAGTTACTTTAAAAAAATTTTTTTATGCTGTCCTATTAGTATCAAGGTATTTGGTTGCTGTTTGAAGCCAAAATGATGTTGAGTTACGCATATAATGACAATAAGCCTTATGTTTTTCCATTATTACTAATTTGTCTGAACCAGCTTGGCATTGCTATTTATTTTACTTGGTGTGGCAGTTTAAGATAAGTTTTTTAAAAAAAGTATTTGATCTTTTCTCTCAAAATTTAAAGGAATCAGATAGCTTGTATGTCTGGAATACATGAGTCTAACTGGAATGGATTGGGAGGACAGGGAAATAGTTTTCCGTGATTCTAGTATCTAATGTTCAGTAATTTTAACATTCAGTACTTAACTTAATCTGGGTTATTATTATATGAAGAGGGTTTGGATGTCATGCTTTTAGGTTCATGATTCGAATCTAATGAGCCAGAGTTAGAAACATGGACAAAGATAAACAGACATGCAGAGGATATAGAAAGTAGAAATTTGTGGCACATTTTGTTTTCATTTAGTCCAGGTCAAGAATGTCAGGATTTTGGGAAAAACTTCCTAGAGGCCTGAGGCACCTGCGCCTTCTCCCTGTAACTTCCTGCAGTTAGGGTGCTTTGTAAAAGTGCTTTCCTGATGCTAGTGTCAAACCTGAGATCACCAAAGGAAGCCTTTGACTTCTGCTTTTCCTGACACAGTCATGGTATTACAATAAAACATACAACTGAAAACACATCTGGATTTGAAATTGTGCTTTTCAGTTTTTCATTTTAAAATACTAGCTTGATTGAGATATAATTCACATAACCATAAAATTCACTCTTAAAAAGTATACAGATCAGTGGTTTTTGGTATATTCACGTGCTTGTGCAACCATCACCACTATCTAATTTCAAAAAATTACCCCTTTCCATTACCCCTGAAAGAAACCCCGTACCCGGTAGCAGACGGTTTTTCCTTCCGCCCAGCCCCTGTCAGGCACTAACGAACTTTCTCTGTGGATTTGCCTGCTCTGCACATTTCCTACAAATGGAGTCTCATTATATAGCCTCTTGTGATAGCCTTCTTGCACTTAGCATAATTTTTTTTTACAGATTAATCTATGTTGTAGCATATATCAGCATTTCTTTCCTTTTTTATTGCCAAAATAGTATTTCATTGTATGGATAATACCATGGGTTTTTTTCTTTTATCCGTTGGTAGACATTTAAGTTGTTCCAGTTTTGGGGTGTTGGGAGTCATGCTGTCAGTAACATTTGTGTACGAGTTTTGTGTGGACATGTATTTTTGTTTTGCTTGGGTAGCTACCCAAGCAGTAGAAATGCTGGGTTGCGTGGTAGCTCCATGTTTGACTGTCTGAGGAGCTGCCTGTACACTGTTTTCTTCAGCAGCGCCACCATTTCACAGTCTCACCAGCCACGTGGAAGGCTCCCGTTCCTCCACATGCTCACCAATGCTTGTTGTTTTCTGTTTTTACAAGATCAGTCATTCTGTTTGTTGTGTTAAGTAGTATCTCATTGTGATTTTGTTCTCCATTGCTCTAATGACTAATGATGTCAAACTTTGTTTTTCGTGGTTATTGACCATTTGTATATCTTCTTTTGAAAAATTCATATCCTTTACCCATTTTCAATGAGATTGTCTTTTCATTGGCAAGCTGTAAAAGCTCTTTATACATTCAGAATAAAAGTCCCTTACTAGATATATGATTTGTAAATATTTTCTCCCATTCCATGAATTGTCCCTTCCTCCCTGCTTTCTCTTTCCCTCATTCTCTACCCCCTTTCTTTCTCTTTTTAAAGTTTTACTTAAGTCATTTAAGAACAATATGGTCTTTGGCTAATCTTCACATCATTAGACACAATATTATCTTCATTAGGTTGAGGAAGTCTTAGTACTAGGATATCTGACTGTTGATACATACAGGATATGAGTAGTACCTTTTCCCTTAAATTGCTGTGAATCTGGTTTATTTGTTTCTCTCCCCAACCACCATCTTTAAAAAAATAGATAGGAGACAGCCTGAGTGAGTTTTCTGCATTCTCACTTAATTTATATTTGAGGGTACAGTTATATTTTGCAAAGTGAGTCAGCAGACCAAAACAGCACAGTGAGACTGTTTTTTGTACTACACAGCTTTCCACTGACTTCCCCTGCAAAGCAAGATGCAAGATTTACTTGTGTCTGCCTAGGGGATACTAAATGAGACATTCAGGCTCTTTGTTAAACCAAATAGGAGTATCTTACCATATAATTATTTTGGAAAAGAAATTCAGCCTATTGGAAAAATATTTTAATCTACTTAATGTTGTATAGATGACATTTTCTTAGGTTTTTTTCCTTTTCTCAATGAAAGTGCACTTTTAAGACAGCTGTAAAAAGCAAACATGGACAAGGATAGCACATAACATATACAGTTGTTAAACTATGATTTGGCTTTACTGTTACAGGGAGGATTAGTTTAGCTTGGAATTGAACCTTCAAGAAAAAACAGTATGAAGAACTGGTGGTGGGAATTTCCTAAGGAATGATTCTGATATTTTGATCGATTGTTCTGTGGGAGAGTATTATATTGCTAAGATACTATTAACTTTAGGGAAACACTATTTGGATTGAGAACATCAATGGGACAGATAAAAATCTGACGCTTTTCTAGTGGAAAACATATAGAAACTTAACTTATAATTTACCTTGTTCCACAGAGCCCAAACTACACTTTGTGCTATAAAAATTTTATTTATTTGTTTTGCATATTTATTTATAGTAAGTAGTTGTGCTAAAAAAGTTTTATTTATTTACAGTCTTCATTATAAACATAGATCTTTTTTTAAATGTAGAACCCAGCATTTCCAAATATATGTGAATAAATGTGTACAGATGGACCTTGCACAGTTACTACGTGAAGCATTACTTGGGACTAAGCAAAGAAGAGAGGTTCCAAAAGAACTAGGGCAAAGCAGAACTAGTTCTGCTTTGAAGTGGGTGTTGTATAGGTTGAAGTCTTTATCAGATCATTGTGGAAATACTGCATATGTTTGAATGGTACATTTATTTATTGATTTATTGCTTTGCTGGACAATATTATTTTTTCCTTTTTTATTGAGGCGACATTGGTTAATATAATTATAGGTTTCAGGTGTACCATTCTAATAATATCATCTGTAGATTGTATTGTGTGTTCACCATTCCAAGTGACAATATTTTATTTTTAGCTAATTTATTTTTATTGTATTTTTTTCCATTACCATTTATTCCCCTTGTAGCTTCCTGTGCCCTGCAATCACCACACTTGTCCACTTCCTTGAGTCCTTTTTTTCTTTTTGCTTGATCCCTCTGCCCCCTAATTGCCTCACTGCCCAGATCTGTCAGCCTCCTCTCTATCAGTGAGTCTGTCTCTATTTCGCTTGTTAGTTCAGTTTGTTCATTAGATTCCACATGAGTGAAATCATATGGTATTTGTCTTTCTTTGACTGGCTTATTTCACTTATCATAATGTTCTCCGGGTCCATCCATGCTGTTGCAAAGGGTAAAATTTTCTTATTTTTGTGTGGCTGAGTAGTATTCCATTGTCTAAATGTCCTATAGTTATTTTATCCATTCATCTGGTGATGGACACTTGGACTGCTTCCATATCTTGGTAATTGTGAATAATGCTGCAATGGACATAGGGGTGCTTACGTTTGTTCAAATTAATGTTTTGAGTTCCTTCAGATAAATTCCCAGAAGCAGAAACACTAGGTTATAAGGCAGTTCCATTTTAATTGAAGTATCTTCAATTAAAAAATTAGTATCTTCAAAAAATTAAATTCCATTTTTTGAAGTATCTCCATACTGCTTCCCACAGTGGCTGTACCAATCTGTATTTCCACCAACAGTGCAAAAGGGGTTCCTCCCCTTTCTCCACATCTTCACCAGCATTTGTTGTTTGGGGATTTATTGATGATAGCCATTCTGACTGGTGTGAGATGATATCTCATTGTGGTTTTAATTTGCATTTTTCTGATGATTAGTTACATTGAGCATCTTTTCATATATCTATTTGCCATCTGTATGTCCTCTTTGAAGAAGTATTTATTCAGGTCCTTTGAGTATTTTTTAATTAGATTGGTTTTTTTGATGTTGAGTTTATAAGATCTTTATACATTTTGGACATTAACTCCTTATCAGATGTATCGGCGAACATACTCTCCCATTCCATAGGTTGTCTTTTTATTTTGTTGATGGTTTCCTTTGCTCTGCAAAACTTTTTAGTTTGATGTGGTCCCATTTATTTCCTTTTCTGTTTTCCTTGCCTGAGGTATATATCAGAAAAAATATTGCTACGGACAATATCTGAGATTTTACTGCCTATATTTTCTTCTAGGATTTTTATGTTTTGGGGTCTAACATTTAAGTCTTTAACCCATTTTGAATTTATTCTTGTGTGTGGTGCACAAAGGTGACCTTGTTTCATTTTTCTACATGTATCTGTTTTATTTCCCAACACCACTTACTGAATAAAACTGTGTTTAGCCCATTATATGTGCTTGCTTCCTCTGTCGAATATTATTGACTATAAAGGTGTGGGTTTATTTCTGGGCTTTCTATTCAGTTCCATTTTTCTATGTGTCTGTTTTTATGCCAGTACCATGCTATTTTGATTACTATGGCCTTATAGTATAGTTTGATATTAGGTAGCATGATTCCTCCAATTTTGTTCTTCCTCAG